GTGGGAAATATTTGCAGGTCACCCACCATTTGATGATAGAGCTCACAATCATCATTTAATTCTTGATATATGTGAAGGTTTACAACCACCAATATTATCTGGAATGCCTGATGATTATGCACAAATGATGAAGAAATGTTGGGATGTGGATCCATCAAAAAGACCAACTAGTAGAGAGCTTTATGAATTTTCTATGAATAAGCACAAAGAAATTTTTAATAATATCAATAATAGCATTAGTAGTCATAATAGTATTGGTAATAGTATTACTAGTGGTGGTAATAATTCACAATTAGTTCACAAATTACATCCAGGTGCATATCATATAAGTAGAATATTAGATGAAGAAATTGCCAAATCAAAAAACTTAAAAAGTTATACAAGTTATGATAGTTCATTAAATGATCTTGATTTTAACTTTTTTCTTTAATGCTGAAGGTAAATAAAATTTCATTATTAATCAATTGGAAATTCCTATCCATTAAATATTAATATTTTTATTACATTTAATTGATTAATTCTAGTAAAAGAAAAGAAATTGATTGATGAATGATTGATTTTAAACTTCACTATAAATTCATTTATTATAATTATTTATAATAAAACAATATTTCTTTTTTTATAACTTTTTAATTCTTTGTTAAATGGTGGCAACCTTTTGATTATTTGATAACTTTTGGGCTACTCTTGTCAGTTAATCGCAAATAATTTGTTGCTTGTCAATTAATTAGTTTACAAATTTACTTTATTGTCACTTTCTTATATATATGCAAATCTGTAAACACACTTGATTGTACCAGATAATTGTAATTAAATAAATAAAGATAACTCTTTTACAAAGCTCAAATACATTTATAAGCTTCCTTTTTATTCACTTATGATCAATTTATTTCAATTATTCCATTTTTTGACTCACTTTGGTTTATTCACAAAACAACTTGTTTAAGAAGAGCCTTACATTTACAATTAACCTTTGGATGATGCTTTACTAACCATTGCTAACACTTGATATTTAACAATTGCCAGTAAAGCTCCGAACGAGCCGAGCCGAAGCTCGAGCTAAGAAATAATAACCCGAGATTTTCGAGTCGAGCTCGAACCGAGCTCGAGCCAAACGTTCAGCTCGACTCGACTTGGCTCGAGTTTGACGTTACATAAAAATTTTTTAAGTAGCGAATGATTAATCCTAATGCTTTAACCCATTTAAGAGCCTGTTTTCTTGAATTCAGCTCGAACTTGAAAATTCAAGTTTTAACTCTAGTCTGCTCAACTTATTCAAATAAACACAATAAAACGAATAAAACGAATAAAACGAATAAAACGAACAAAAGGAACAAAAGGAACAAAACGAATTAAACGAATAAAAACAAATAAAAACGAACAAAACGAACATA